TCTGGGAGATAATAGAGGCTTGGCATATGGAAACAGTTCCCATCAACCGTTGTGTCACATTTCCAGCAGCCTGCTAGACTCTCCGGATGCAAATAAACAGTGGGAAGCAATGCCAAGCGTAAATCCACAGACAAGAGATCCTAAGACGTATACGCTCTCGGTCACACCATAATCAGGGCTCGACAAAAGTGTAGTCACCAATAGGGCTGTACGAACCAATACCATGGCGAACGAGAACTAAAGCACTCAGTGGCGCAGCACAGGGCGAAAACTAGGGTCGAAATGGTTGCTGCCAACCTCCGAACACCGCCAAAGTTCCCTTATGTCTTTTTGGCTCAAAAAGAGCCTTTGCATTCTGTACAAGGGGAACTAGCAGCATAGGATGATGATCGGTGAGCGTCACACTACCATAATTAAGTCTTTATCACAACCGAGAGGATAAGAGACACGTAGCTCACTGGTTAGGGCATTGGAATTCTAAACAAGGTAATGCGGGTTCGAGCCTCAGGGATTGCACCACCTGAGGTCGGGCATGGCTGAATGAGGACAACTAATAAGTCAGAAATGGTCACGTCGGTCCCCTTGTCTCTGTCGGTAATTTCGTTCGGCATATATACATAGACAGCAATAGAACCAAAAAAGTTGTCTTGGGGGTGAAACAAAGAACATACGAAAACTTTACATACTTTGGCGGCGGCATAAAGTGATCAGACGGTGGCCGCATCTTTATGGCTTCGTCAGCAGGAATGCGTGCAGAAAGATATATGGGCTCGAATATGACCAGTCGATGATCAGTAAGAGAAACGTTGTAGAGCCTGGCGATAGCGGGCCAATTTGTAAACGCCATGTAGCGCCAGAGGGTGTCTACATGCCAGCTGAGGACAATGCCGTGACGTGTAGCGGAGGTCATCTTGAAGAGACTTTTTTCCGTTGCTGTCAGGTCCTCACGTTCGACTAACCCCTCCTTGTCACCACTTTCACGTCTGCTTTTGCTGCCCGCGAGTGGCCTCGTCTGTGTTTCAATGTCAACCCGAGGACTGGCGTTAGAAACGGAATCGCTGCCGTCGCCATCTACGGGATCTCCAGTACGTATGGGGCTCAAGGAGGCATTCTCAACAGTGGTCAATGAAGGATCACCGTCAGATGAAGTTGTAGCCCGAGACAAAAGAGCATAAAGAAAGAGGAAGATAATCCAGGCAGCTGCAAGCATCTGAAAGAATAGGAGAGATAAAACGATATTACGGTCAACATGTTTGATAAAATTTGGATTAAGCAGTTTTGGTTGATGCTATGCCGATGAAATTGTCATACTTGGTAATACCCCTCAGTCACTACAGCCAACGCTAGACCGAATCACCAGCTTCGCTGCAGCTGTTGGTCTGAATATTAATATACGCAAGACGAAGTTCCTGACTACGCATCTTGGCAAAGCGCAACAACTGTTTATCAGCGGTCAGCCCATTGAAGAAGTTAGCCGCTTCCGCTGCTTGGGCTCGAATATGCTAGCCAACAGACAGGCCAAAGACGAAATCAAGAACCGAATCGCGCAGGCTCGAAATACACTTAGGCTGCTAGCCAGACCACTCTGGTCCCGCCCAGGCATTAGCTTACGTACTAAGCTACTGATATGCAGAGCAGCAATCAAACCGGTTTGAGTCTACGCTTGCGAAACATGGCCTGTCGGAAAGACAGACATCCTATCACTCGAAGTCTTTGACCGTTGGTATCTTCGACGACTCTTAAGAGTCTTCTGGCAGGATCGAATTTCCAATATCGAGCTATATCGCAGATGTTTCAAACTACCAAGTCTAGCATCACACATCCAGCATCGCCGATTGCAATGTTTTGACCATGTCCTGCGTAAACCATCGACAGACCTCTGCAGATTGGCCGTGAATCCCTTTCATAGTTCAAAATAGAGATACCGACATGGCGGTCGACTGAAAACGTGGCTAAATACTGCCAAGTCGGACATCGAACGCATGGGTCTCATAACCGTTTACGGCTTGGGACACTGGAACAAACACTGGGTTCACATTTGCAAGGAGCTCGCCTCCGATCGCCGCCAATGGGCCGCCGCTATCCGTGAAGCCGATTCATCCAATAACAGGAGCTAATCGCATCAATTACAAGTAAGAAAGAAGACTGCAGTAAAGATGCAAGCGTCTTAAACGAGACGGAGACCATTTAAATTATAGGGGTTAGCCTTGAGAGCAAAACTAGTTTTTCCGGCCCGTAATTAGCACAGTGTTATTGTTCCAGAGCAGTGTTTCACATAATTCAAATAAAGGAAACTAACCTGCTAAAAAGGTTCTACGCAAAACTGCGTGGGATATAGGTACTCTCAATTGGTTAGGTCAAAGTTCCAACCAAAACAGGGTAGTCCTAAATGCTACTAAACAGAATGCGTAAAACAAACAAGCTGATCACTGCACAAACACGAACCACACATCCATAAAAGTGACCAAAGGTTACAATAGACCATAAAGGTTGCCTTCTCAAGAACTTAATGCAGCCTGAGGTTCACTTCAAAGGAGAACTAGCATAACTACTCAGATCACAACCTCACAAGTTGTGGCTACAAGTGTGTCTGGATAGATTAAGCGAAATTAAGGTTTATCATATTGAGGAAGTGGACAATGGATCAGCCAGAGCAGGCCAGATAAGAGCCGTACCAAGCACAAGTAGTAAGGATTGGCCTCGAACTCTCTCTCTCTCCTTTCGTCACGAACTAGTGGCAAATCTGAGTCAAGCCGATTCGACGCATTGGATGACATGACATAAGTCTCCGACTAACTATCTAACGCAGGAGATTAGAACGTTCTGCGGGCCAAAAATACATATCATACGCAGACATACTTGAGCTGGCTCTCAAACTGTTTCCTGGACCAAAATTACCCAACTTGCGTATAATGGTCAGGGCCATAACACTGCAAACTAGAAAATTTAAACAGGTACAAAAATCAATAATTTCGGGGTTATG